CCAAAGGAAGATAAGGAAAAGGATGTAGAGGGAGCAGTTGACGAGCTTTCGAATGGAACTCTTTCTCCAAGCTATTTTGTCTCAGGCGAGTATCGGAAAAAGATATTTTTTTCTTGTTGCTTCTCGTTTGCAATACAATGTCCTCCGCAAGCAAGCTTCTTCGATATATCGAAAAAAATACGCGCCGGATGGTTACGACCATTGCGCTTCTATACGAGCTTTAAAGGCTTTTCATACGCTGTTGTTGCCCGGACGCCTTTCTCTCTCTCTAGCAATATGCTTTTCCATTTTATTTTTGTGTAATTTGTATTCGTCGTCCTTTGTATAACTCTTCACAAGAATAGCTAGTCAATTTTAGCTTGGTTTTCTCGTTTTCTTTATGTAAACATTTGCAATATGAAGTATCGGTTGTTATATTTTGATGAATAATTTGTATTTTTATTGCTTTTCCGCGTCGTCCCGTCGGCATACGAAAATGACTCTTATTTGCTATCACTATAGTTATTATAGTTAATAAAATTGAAATTTATACGAAACAAAAAATTAATGGGAATTTTTTTTTTAAACTCACTTCTCTTAAAAACTTTAATAGCCTCAATAACCTACTTTCAAGCCATTGTTTAACAGTAGCCAAAGTCTCCTTGTGAAAAAAAATAAAAACAAGGCCTGTAAGTTAAATGTATTACTACGTAACTCGTAAATTTACCCTTAGCAGTAGAGCCTAGAGGGCCTTTGGCGCTTCTGGCTCCAAAGATACAAGCAATAAAAGTATCGTGCTGCTGTTGTGTGTGAGAGAGATATGCACTCTTGCGTACGCAGCATGTGCGAAGGTCACGTAATGCTAGTTGCCCGGTCGACGCGTGCTTGCGCTATCTAGCTATTTGTCTCTCTACTTTATTACTTTCCATTCAAGTTGCGCTTCAGATTCTATGTTGCTGTGTTGGCGAATGGAGTTACCAAACTGTCGGTTGTCGCGTGTACTGGATTCCGCACGCGCCCGTTATACTTCGATTTAACTGTTTCCATTCTCGAGTGTTGCGTGCGAATTTTTTCGGATTGTGATTGGTATTAACGAGCACCATCTATGATTGCTTCAGTGCACCTCTCTTTTCGCGACCTACCTTGAAATGCTTGCAAACTGGAACCTTCATTCACGCGGACAGTTGATTTTGTACGAGAGCTAAGTTTACTTTTCATTGCGGCTTCGTTATGCTAATTATTTGACGAATAAAGTGGTTTCTCTCCGTCAATTTAAAAATTTTATGGTTTCCATTAGAGCAACCATTAATTTTATTTGAAAAGGCAGATTAAATTTAATTGCTTTATATTTTGCAGGAAAGTATATTTGAACGGTTTCACTTGACGATCCATCACTGAATTGAAATCGTTGATAAATAAATGAGTTAATATTCCACACCCAATTTTTTTGTAATAAAATTAATTAAATGATTTTTCACGAAATAAATAATCATGTTTCATTAAAATCATTCTTGAAATGAATTATTATTTTTAAAAAGCTGTAGTTCTTTTGTCATGATATTATCAAAAATAAAAGCAAAACAATAGAGATTTATGCAAAGCAATATCTTTGAGTTATATACACATTGGCACTAGAAGCTTTATTCCTGGAATCACAACGAGAAATCGATGTTTCTCTCTCACTCTCTCTCCTGTCTTTCGGTTGGATGTCACGATTGGCCGGCTGCCTGCACGTTGAGCCGCATCACTTTGCTTGCAGCTCGCGACTGCACCAACGAATGGATGGATCTCGGTTACCACTTTGCGTACACAAATAAACGGGCAGACAAAAATAAAAGACGTTCAGCCGAGTTTAAGTACATTCATAAAATGTTTTGAATTTCATATAGATAATTTTATTCTTATTCATGTATAAAGATAATTCGAGCTTAAAATCTCGCTTATAAATGCTGTTCATTTCCTTAATGTATAGGTCATAAATTATTTTTTTAACTCAGATTTAGAAATTACTATCCATGCTGATTTAACAAGTAGAACAGAAAGAAATTAGATCAGTAATTAACAAATACAAGTAGAAAATTCATTAAATATATCAGGAGAAAAAGGTAGGTTTCGGAACGCTAATAAGTTTGTTAGCAGCGTAGTTCAATTGAGAAATCAGACCGCACATACTCACTGACGAAACGAGACTTCTTAAGCACACACGTACACAGACATGCCGGTGAGTAAGAGGGGGAATAATCGCGTCTCACGCCTCGGGTCCCGTTAAACTTTTCTCCTTTTCTCACTCCTGTGAAAGAGGGAAAAACGAGCAAATATAAGAGATTCCGCTGTATTTTTCTCGAGCTATCGTGTTTGCTTATGGCGCGTAGACGAAGAACGAACCATCGAAAGGCAAATGAGAACAGACTGTGAGAGTTTTATCAGATGACGCTATGAATTTTATGGCGATATTATAGCTCCTACGCGTGACAACGACGTTTGTACATGGACGAGCGAGAAGCGTTTCGAATTGATGTTTTGAAAACAAACATATAAATCTAGTACTTTATTACACAGAAATGTCTTTCATTTGGAAATGTACCTTGAGTAAACAACCCTTTCTCATAAAATTATGAACATATAGAGCACCAAAGATTAATTAATCAGCCGTGGAAGTTCTCTTGGCTACACGATTCTCGATCGCATTTCAAAGGCATCGGGGATCGGGATAAACATAGCGGCGCGGAGTAATCGTCGAGTTTACCTCTGCGCGCAGCCCTCTAATCGGCTACAAGTATGCACTATATACACGCTTGATTAGCGCTCTCTACCTTTCGACGTCACCGGACATCGCCTTCAAGGGAATTTCCTCTGCTGGTGATTAGGGGAAACAGAGTGCTCGTTGGTTTTTACGACTTATTCTCTCTCTTTTTAGCGAAATCTCTTGCTGCAGGTCGTTATGCATGATAAAAACAAAGAAATATGTGATAAAAAATAAAATATTATAATACTACGCATATTGGTTCGATTGAACATTGCAGGATTCATCCCTTTGTTTGATCGGCATGAGTCGATACTAAACTACTAGTGCTGTTTTTTTTTGTTATTTTAGATCGTCAGACGCTTGTTAGTTTTGATTATTCAACTGAAAAATATAGCAAAGCTAATCTTTGCCGACGTGGCAGTTAACGTGAACAATCGAACGATTTAATTACTATACCGACAATGTTGCGACGAGATGCACAAATGCGTCGAATTTCAAACGAGCCTTACATTCAAATCATTCAAATTACTTTTTTGCATAGCCAACGCCGAAAATATCGCGCGATGACTTTCGAAACGTAATGGAAGCTTTCCTTTCTCTCTGGCGCTCTGATAATAAAACAGCAGCTATGAAAAACAGGCGAGCGGAAGAGTGGGACAGCGGAGGTAAATGCAAGCGCCGACGTAAAAAGGAGCGAACGAATCGAGAGAGATGAGAAATAAAGGAAAGCGCATAGCAAAGTCAGAAGCCCTCGCTGTGGCCGATGTATAAGTAAAGGAGTCTCTCTTTGCTGTTTCCATGGCAACCACCCCGTAAAGTCCTTTTCCTTTTGTTCGTCTGCACGCGCGAGCAAAATTGAAAATTAGACGCGGGAGCGAATTGTGAATGGGTTCGACTGAATTTTCACTAGACGCTTTGTACAATACCGGAATATAATGTACGTCGAACGCGATCTTTCCCTTCTTTCTTTCGACAATATAGAACGCGAGACTTGAATTCGATCGATCGATCGATTTTATTTTGGAAAGACTGAGCTGTGCTACGTGAAATATGTAATGACGGTCATCAGTCGCAAAATAATACGGATTTATTTGGTATCGAATTTATCGAATTTATATGATATTTCATTTGGACGGTCCAACTAAATTTGAAAGTGATGACATCCAACCTTACATTTAGAAAATTAATTTTGTTTATTATTGCACATCAATATTGCTTCGCACGGGCTTTATCTTTGTAAATTGATATTTTTTACTCGTGGAAATTAAAAGGCTCGCTTTAATTAGAGCATTCAATAATGTATTATACTTTCGTAAAATTAAATTTATATTTTGTTAACAAATTTAAACTCTGTTTGACAAGCAGACGTCACTCGTTTTTTATCTCGTCGACAGTATAGTCGACAATAAAATCTCAAGCATGTTTATTAATTAAATAATTAAAATAATGAAGATAAAGTAATTTATTCAGCACGAATGATAAGAAACTCTTTTATTGGCGTTTCGGGTTTCTTTTTATATGAAAATACTCTTTATAATAATAAAAACTTCTTGCCCTTTCAAAATCGTGTAACATTTAGTACCAAAGTATTCAATGTGTAAAATCTTGCCAAACTTCGTGGGGAAAATTTCACGAAGGTATCAAAGTTGTCTAAAATATTTTAAAAATATGTAAAAAAGTTTCTGGTTGTCATGTAACTTTGGTCGATGGCTCCATTGTAGGCCGCGATTGCTACGGGATATCAACTATGCGGTTACTATTGTAATTGTTATAACAACAAAAGTATCGACTTTTCATCTTGCTGACATTGGATTTTACCAGTGGTCACTTACACGCATGAGTTCATCACGTCACGTAGGTTATTTCCGTAAAGAATAAGAAGCAGGAGGACTAAGACACTAAGTTCCCAAGGGAGGAACGCCCAAATTTTGTAGAGTGCCACAGGGAGTTAACGTCAGTCGACAAAGTTACCAATTGCTCAGTCCCCTTCTTAGCCGCGAGGTAGAAACTAATCCCCGTAAGCAAAAAGACTTGTGCGGAAAAGTCCAAGTTCTGTTTCGCGGTTTTTGCGTATTATGCCATCCGGAAAGTTTTGCCAAGGGACCTCAGATACTCTAATCGAATGATGAATGAGCTTTCGCTAACCTGATAACTCTGCCTGTGTGCATTATGACTTCCTTTGCCGGGACGACTCTTTAACTTTGCAATACTTAACGCGAATCTTAAGTTTCAAAGTAAAAATAGAAACAAAAGTATGAATTTTAAAAGTACTAACCTGAAACTCGAGGCGATAGAGTGCAGGACACTTCCTGCGCAGCTCGCAGAGTTTGGGATACTGGGCTAACTCCGTGGGTGCGGTTGGCAGGAATCTGTCGAGGCCGAGTTCCTCTGCTGCTGAAACACAACAACATGTATGCCAGTCAGATAAATCGCAACGGACAACACAGTCAGACGCATGCCTACTAGGCTCACTCGGTCTCGTCGTCGATGCTGCAACAAATCAGCCCTTTTATTGCATCAACTCTTATACACTCGCAAATTAGTTATAGAACTCTTTTCATTATTATTTCATGACACAGTTTTGTTTTCATTTTGTAGTATAATGCTTTCTCGATACGTGATACAAATCCAATGATACAAAAATCGGTCAAAACGTGATGGTACAAAGTTATAGAGTTTTATTGGAAAATTGTTTTGCGAACACTTCAAATATTACAGTCAAATTAGACTACATATTTCTGATAAAAAGAAGTCTTTTTTGTCGACTTTTAACGCTTCACCATTATAGATTCTCAAGTAGTCTAAAATGAAAATGGCAAGAATTTATGTTGCGCAATTTGAATGAAAGAATTCAACGTTAGCTTGCAATAATTAAGAAACCTTTATTGAATTTTTTTCTCAAATACAATATCGACTTCTTGGAAAAAGAGAATGAGCCCCTTTGTAGTGATAGAAAAATCATACATCAAAGTATCTTAGCTCTCAACTTTACGAAAAAAAAAAAAAATGCTCCCAGAATTGAAAATAAATCCAATACAAAAGTGAAAGCAATACAGCCTTAGTTAAAGTGATATTGAATCTCGGTGCTTTTCAATCTCCACCATGACAAATAAAGAAAAAAATTTGTCGTCGCTGGTGTCGAAGAAAGAAAAAGGCAGAACGAGATGAGCAACGAGGCAGAGGCGTAACGCTTGGATTTACAACAGCTCGTGGGTATCGTAATTTCCAAGCGCCCTCACACCTGCCACTGCGTATACGCTTCTCTCTCTCCCGTCCGAGTGATTACCCCATTTACAGTGCCATTCGCGATTCACAATCTGATTATTGTACGTCTGCGCTCATTTCCTGTCCGATTCATTTTGTTGTTATGCATTTGCCTTTTTGTGTTAAGTAATTTAATAATGCGCGTGACATCGCGGATTTTCAATTTCAGTGCAATTTTAGGACCATTTTCGTATTAAATAAACCTAAATGACAGAAGTATCATAAAATTAATCTAAGATTCTCATATTATTTTTATGCAGACGTTAACTTATTGACACAATATGCGTCACAAGACACGAACGGTAACGAAATTGCCTTCTACCCCTACCAACTAATTATAAATAACACTGTGGCTACAATGTGAAAACCAAATTCATTGCGTAAGCCAACAAGTTAGACAGTTCGACATTAGCGGTTCGTGCGCAGGTGTAGTCATTATTACTATACGATTCTCATAATGAATCTTCACGATAATTTAATAGAAAGAGCTTTATTTTTTCCAATTTTTTCAGCTTTAATTGACCTAAATTCGTTCTTGTCGATCTCTCATTTGTCACAAACAACATCCATACATACATACACATCCTTGTTCAATTATAAATTTAATCGGTGGGGAAAGTAGGTGGTTTTTCATCTAGAGCGAACGAAAATTAGCGAAAGATGTACACTCGTTTTCAGATTCGAGCTCGTTATTAATGAATATTGAAAAGGAGCGTGAGTAAGTGAGTGAAAGACGAACTCACATTTTTCATTAGGAACATAATGATGTGTCGACCAGTGCGACTGCAGTTATTACCAGCATAACGGGAAAAGGAAGACTCTTACAATTAGAATGGTATTCACGACCGAATCAAGTACACGACATAACACGCCGCATTGGCATCGAATCGTCGGAACGATGCTACTTGCGCGCACACACCCCAATCACACGCGCGATTACACGAGTTTGTTTACGCGATTGGTCACGTTGCGTTGCGCAAGGCACGCGTCAATTTTTTTCCCCGTTTTTGTTTTCGTCGATGGCATTCGCGTGTCGCTAATTGACGATGATCAGAGCTAAAATGTCACTCCCTTTTCATTTCTGTATTTTCAATTGTTTCGGCTGGGCTCCGTCAGTCACGTCACGTTGTCACTTAAAAGCGTATACGTGATTGACGTAACCTCGTAGAAATTCGTTTTTGTTTTTCTGCTTGCTCTGATCTTTTCACGTAATTTTTTGCCACGACAGGTGATGTCACGCGTATTTTGTTATTGTTGAATTTTCGTAGCGAATCGTTTGAGGTTTTTAAGTTTACGAGAAAAGAAAAGGTTATATCTTCGTTAAAGTAAAGTTTCGTTTATTCGTTCCGGAGTATGATTTGTATTTTGGAACTGATGTAAACGATTATTAAGAGTTTTTAAATTGCGTTCGAAAAGATTTTACGTCGAAAGCCGTAATCAATGAGAGAAAAGAATTCTTTCAACGTTCACCCTCTCTGAACTTTCGGGTTGCCCATTACGATACCGCGCACGTAAATCTAATAATATCCCAAACGAGGAACTTTGTAATTTGTTAGCGTGTGTAACTCCTCGTCGCAAAGTTCAACTCGTCTCTCAATCGCAAGATGCTCCGCGTTTTCTCTACCCACAGAACCCACTGCGCGTAATTGTACCTCAAAGTATATACCAGACATGCGTATTTTCTTCGTTTTATCCTTATTACACCAACCATCTCAACTTGGTAAATTATAAGGCGTACGTCTTGATAATGCATGCTTTGTAATAATGTATATGTGTGTATGTTCTTTGCAAATCACAGAAAATTAACTGTGGAAATCTACGTCTTCAAGCTTATTTATCGTCGTAAGATTAAACATGAAAATTATTGGGACGATAAAGTAATTTTTGAATCATTGATATGACAATTGATACATTTCCAAAGAGCCTATTGGTTATGTTAACTATTATTGCTTTTTAGACACACCGTTCGGACTTACATTACAAGGGCTTTGATTACATGTGTGTGTGTGTGTAGTACAATTGAAAATATTATTTTTAACTGTCACAGAAAAGTGGCAAATGCAGTAACTTCGATTAAAAACAAGCTTGAGAATTTTAAGAGACAAAAGTGCTCCGTTGAACTTCGCAATAACAACTATTCGGAACGTCCTGATGAAATTCGGAAGTTCAAGTAACAAAGTTTCGCTTTGAATTCAGCGCTACAATGACAAACTAGCTCCGTTCGTACAACTACACGCGTGTATATGTGTTTTTCACATTACATTAGCGAGCATATTGGAAATGTATGAAGAAATGTATGAACGAACATTTTGTAAGAAACCTAAAAAAAAAGGCCGTTCGTCTTGCTCGCACGGAGGTCGATTTATTCTTGCATGTGAGTCAAATGTGCGTGCTTTCGCATCGTTCCACAAGGCAGCTTCAAGCAGGTGATTGATGAAAATGAATTCCAATCGCGCAGGCATTTGATCCCGACAGCTGCCTCCATTGGATACGACGGAAATGCTGTGCACTCGAAAGCTGCACTCGACTACACTCGCTTTTATAGACGCTCTGCTGCTGTGTTAAAATTCCAGACGCTTGGCATGCTGTGAACGCAGTCAGTTAATTATGATATTAGTTATCTGACTGTAATAAATGGCGAGTGCTATTGATAGTTGCGATTCTTTTCAAAATATGGCGAAAAAAACGTGTATTTTTTTCATAAACCTTCTTTGTTCATTTTCTCTAGAAAATAATTCTAAATAATACCTATACATATTGACAAAGGAATTTCTTGTTACATATACCTGACTCCATTTTCGAATACGTAAACGAAAACGTCATATTATTTACATATCGACTGACAATAGTACATTTGGATACCAGTGCGAGAGAGAAATTTCAGCCTCGCGTGGACGTTCGAGAAGTCGCGCGCACTTGGAGCCCCCTCCCACGCAACGTCGTACCGAAAAATAAAGCTCTAGATACGCGCGCGAGAAAGTGATTTCAGGGCGCAGGCGTCCACGCGAAGCTGAAATTACTTTCTCACATTAGTGTGTAATTAGTATGGGTTATAAGCCCGAACGAGCCTGATGTAAAGTTGCATATAATGGGTGAGGCGTGCTAATAGCACTGGCCAACGCGTGCATCCAAATTTTTTGCTCCTTTGACGTGTACATCGAAATGAATACTTACATCAGTACTTTATACGTATGAATGTGTGAGTTGGACTGGTAATCGTCGGTATGGTTATCAATATCGATTAATATTAGTGAGCGTTATAGCGTGCAAGATTAACTTGTTCGTAAAGTTATGAAGAAAGCTAAGTGAAACTCGAGATTTCCACAAATTGAATCAATCACTTTGGCTACGCTATATATAGTCAGAGTAGCTTTATCATAGCCCTTCACTCTCTCTCTCTCTCTCTCACTATAATGCCTCAATCGTGAGAAGTAGTTTGGGGCTATTTCTACGCAATCACATGAAACTTGGTATTGCTCATTTGGATCAGACATAGTTAATTAAAGATAATTTTGTGCCACTTAAAGACAAATGAAACTGGTTTACATAATGTTTATATGATGAAATCCATAAAAAAGTTTATGAGAATCACAAATATTTTTTTCTTCGCTTGGGCTTCCAAAGTTTGTAGTGACAAAAATATCAACTGCTGCTTTTCAAGTAATAGAATGAAAGAGTTAGATGATGTATTCGACAATGTCATACTTCTGCCATACCACAACAAATCGGATCATGATTGAGAGCTAAGTCATAACGAAAATATCATTAATAAATGTGTGGTAGCAAGTTACATCTACTGGGCATACAGTCAACTTGAATTCTCGTGAGAACAAAAAATCGCATGAAATTTCAAACGATGAGCTTTAGACTCATGAATATAATGAAAAAGTTGAAATGCCATATACTAAACATATGGGAACCAAAACTTTTTCACAAACTATGAAATACTTACTATTTTTATTATACGCGTTATTTATTTTGTTTTCTGCAAAAGTATTCATCTGATTGTAAAATAAATGAACTTGTATATAAGAAAAAAAATATTTTACTTTAAAAATAATGTTACAAGTAAATATATAAAACATTTCAAAGAAATCAACTAGCTCATGAGTTTGAAAAGACTCCCATCG